TAAAAAAAAAATAAAAATACTAAATAATTATAATAAAACTTTCTTTTCTTTTTTAAAGAAAAATTTGTTATGATTCCTTCAAACGAATTTCATATTTTCCTTCTCTTAGTAAATTTATTTGAAGTCTTGTTTTGGATCCATCTGGTTTCTGTATTACCACCTAAGTATATAATCATAATTATAATTATAATCAATTGATTTATCGGTCATTCTCACAAATTTCTCTCGCCAATAATTAATCAATTAATAGTTACCTCTGAATCAGTTGCGGTGATAAATTTAGCAGTGTATCGACCAGTTGTCGAATCAATTATGAGTACGGCATCACCTCTAGCAAAATAGTGCCCACAGTAATAAAAACGATCTCCCGATACATATATGTTAGGGTCTTGTTGTTGCGATGTGGTGGCGGTGACGTTGTTGGTGGCGGTATTGTTGGTGGCAGTGGTATTAGTGGCAATGTCTTGATTATAGTTTTCCGCTATTGATGATGATGGTGATGGTGATGATGGTGATGATGGTGATGGTGGTGGTGATAGTTCATTTTCTATAATAGTATAATCATTCAATATGACAATATATTCATAATAAATATTAAAGGCAATATAAATATAGATAATAAATAATATATATGATATGAGACATTAAATATGTTATTTATTTTTTTACCTTGTGCATAGTCATCCTCATTTATAATCTATATTGTATTAACAAAATTATTATAATAAATTATTATGATATAAGAATATTAAAAAAAATTTACCCCTAAAGCGATTAGGTCTTCGTTTTTTTCGCTTTCATTCAATGGTTCTAACGGGGTTTGTAAGTCTTAGTTAAGAATAATAATAATATTTAAAACATTAAATATAATAAACGAAGTGACAATTATAAATGGTAAATAATGCGATGCTATATTAAAAAAGGATATTTCCTGGGAATCCATAATTATTATATAAAAATTCGCAATTGGAGGCAACAATTTCTTTTGTCCTTCTTCGTTTCACAAGTCGTTCACGGTTAGGTATAACATAATCTATATAATATCAAGTAATAATTAATACGCGTAAAAGAAGTAAAAGTAGAAAGGAGACAATAAATAATGACCTTCTTCATCCAAAACATCTATTCGTCGTTTTTCTGTCTTGATTCTACACCTTAAATCCTCTAATTCTTCTAGTTTTCTTTTTTTAAATTTTCTTTTTTCTGACTAAAAAATCAAGAATAAAAATTAAAATGATCAAATACATTAATTAATCAATAATGAATTAAATCAATCAATCAATCAATTAGTTTATATACAATTAATATTTTAATTATGTATATTTACATTGAATTCACAATGCGCAACAAATTCATCCGCTTTATAATCTTTTTCAATAAGTTGGACTGTAAATCTTTTTTCGGCCATTATCATCTCCAATCGTTGCTTCTTTCTTTTTTCGATTTCTTCAATGCGAGCAAGGAGTTCAGGGTGCGTACCTAGTTAGTTAATTATTATTTTCAGAAAAATTTTTTTTCATGAAATGATTATTTTATAATTGAAATTACTATTATTATTTTTGCAATGTTCATTTCAAATATTAATACATTCATTCATTCACATTTACATTAATTGATAATCATATACCTTGTTTTATCATTTCCATTTGGTTTTCCAAATCAGTCATTTTGTCAAATTTGTCACGATACATACTAGGTAAAGGCCTTAAAATTTGATGTTACTAGTATTTTTCTAATTCCATTAATATAAAATATAAAGTATAAAAATACACTATATCATATACCTCATCAGTATCCCACAAATAAAAACTATCAACTTCACCATCAAGTGGCTTAGGTACAACATCTTCTGGCAATTCAAGGTCATAAACATATCTATTACACAGTTTTTATAATGAAGTAAATAATCATAAATATTAAAGAAATTAATATAATAATATAAATATGAAACTTGCTGTATTTCTGGTTGTAACCCATCATCACTAGATATAAAATAACTAATTGCTCCAACAGGTTTAGCTTTTTCTGCAATGTTTCTTTCAAGACTAGCTTCTTCAATTGCTTCTTTGATAACACATTCTTGTAATGACATTTTATATGGCAAACCACCTGCAACCGTATTATCCAACATACCTGGCCATGTTTGTTTTGTTGAGGATCGTTTTGCAATCCACATTTTAATTTTATTATTGTTGTTGTCATCTTTGATTTTTAAATATGCAGACAAGTGTATTCCATATGTTACCACACCAAACAATGGTGAAGCACTACGTTCAATTAAAAACGCAACTTCGCCATTGTCTCCATAAACTGGATATAATTCATTCCTCCAGCCTTAATGATATTTGATTGTTTTTTTTAAAAAAAAGAAAAAAGTAATTAATTCAAGCAACTTTTTTTAATTAAAATTACCTTCCAACCGCTTAATTTTTTTTTCTTGCCTCCATTGTTCAAAAAGTTTTTGAACAGCTTCAGTTCTTTTTTCAAAAGTATTTAAATGAGGTCGAAATTTTACATAATTTGAAGAACCTGCATCATCATACTGAATTGAGAAAGGTTTTGGGTTTTGTTTATCGTTATATTCTTTTAATGTTGGTATTATTGATGGTAAAATTAAGCCTAATTTAGTTGTTTCAAAAATAAGTGGAACTACGTTTTTATATTTATTATCGGAATCATTGACTAACTCATTTGGATATGGGTAACAATCACAATTTTTTACAATGTCATAAAATGTAAATGGTGGATACATAATGATTTTTCACTTT